GCGCCGGGCTAGGCCCGTCCTCGCGAGCCCCCCCGGCTCCGGGGGGGACCCGCCTCGCTCCTCAAGCCCTTCCAGCCTCGAAACCCGCAAACGTTCCCGGCACCCGCCTGAGCGCGTACCGGAGGCGCCGGGTTTCGCTTCCGCGGCGGGGCCGTCCCGTCCCGGGCCGCGCTGGGCTCCTTTGGGACTGACGCTGCTTTACCGGCCAGGCGGCCGCTTTCCCCTCTCCGTGGCCTGGCTGTGTCGGTTGTCGCCTGTGGCCTCCAGATGGATCTTAAAATGTGGCGCTTCATCGCGTCCAGACATCTTTATTTGGTTTAGGTACCGTAACCTCGGTGTTTCTCTCGGTTTTTTTCCCATCCTGTTGGCAAGGACACGTTTGTCTCACTTAAAACGTCCCCAGAAGATAATTTTTAAGGGCTGATTGTGTCAGTTAGGGGTGAGAATTAAGTCTGAACAAAGAGACTGTGCTAAGTTGGGTTAAAAACACGCATCAGCAAAAATTAAGTCAAATCTGAACCGGTAGAAGTAGACTTTGTGGTTTTTGTCTGTGTAGTTTTGCCTGTTCAAGGCATTTCAGGGGAGAGGAGGAGAAGGAGAAAAAAAATACTCGAGAGGTTTGGGGAGAGGGAAAAGGTCATGTTTATTTTTTAAATACAAGTTGGAAATCGAGTACTGCTTACCTGTATTGTTATACAGTATAGCTTGATGTGTATTCCCAATTTTATTCTACTTACAGGTTTTGTTAAAGCACAACTTGATGGGATTTCTGAGATTTTTGGCTACTTTATTAGAAAATGCGTAACTGCATGGACTTCCCCATTGCTGATTAAATTACAGAAACAGTGTATTCTTTTTAAAGGCCTCTACTTAACATTAAAAGGTCAAGGACCTGAGCAAACTTAGTTTTGTGTACACAGTAAGCAAATTAACAAATGGAGCTTGGCAGAGGGGTTTCCTTTCGTTTTCCAAATCCAAGTGCAGACAGCTTTTAGTAGCATGGACCGAATGCAACTCTCCTTTTTTTCAGTTCTTTCACAGCGTATTTTTATTAAAGTGCTGTGTTTGTCTGGTAAGCATAACTCTCTGGTTCCGTCTGAATCCTAATGAGAGAGGAACTGCAGAAGTATACAGAGCATCCTCTTCAGAGTTTGTTTAGCCTCTGGCTGCACTGCCTTTATCCCAGCCTCCAGCCTGTGTTGTGTCCTGCATGTCCTGGCTCCCCCGTGCAGACAGTGCATGGATGTGCTTGATGCTGATGGAGTGTCAGCTGCGGAGCGTGGATGAACCAGCCGTTCATCGTTAATTCATTCCAGCGACATTCTTGTGACGGGCTAGCTAAGGCAGTGTCAGCATTTCTTTTATAAACCACGGTTTCCCAGGACCTGCCGCATGTTTCTGGGGCTGGAGAATTTGCTTATTACAAGAGCCTAAAAGTAGAGTTTTGTCCTCTGAGCAGATAGTTCAAATTAAGATTAAAAGCAAAATTATGTTGGCATTAACTATGAATCTGTTAAGGATTGTTGACAAAGATTGCATTAGCTAAAAACTTGTGTTTTGTCTCATTCCTGGTTTTGCATACAACGGCCAATGATTCACTCAGCTTCCCGAGATCTGCGCTTCTCCACTCTTGAGAAAGAGGAGGGGGGGGTGTGAAATTTGAGGCAGCATTATCTCCAAATAAATACAATTTTTTCTGGCTCTCGAGGTTAGTGGGAACATCTGTGGCTGTTGATGTGTTTTAAAA